TGAGCACTAAGTCAGTTAAGAACTCTGAGAATTCAGTTAGAAACTCAGAGTAAGGAGCGGGTGGTCGATATACGACAACTAACAGAACTGGTTTCTGCGCTTTCTGGTTCAGACTAAGACTAAGGCTTTCAAATGATTTATAACTAAGTTTTGGTCTCTGGTATGAGTTTGGTGCACAGTAATTAGGGCCAAATGCTGATGCAAAGCAAGATTAGACATCTTTTTAAAGTAATGCCATTTGGATTTTCATTTATTTATTTATTTATTGCAGCTTATTCTTAGCACTTTATATATAACTTATGGTTGGGTTTCTAGATTACTAACCTTCAAACACTTATGAAATGATGTCAAATGGTACAATCTGAATCAAAATTCACAAACAAAATCACAGTCTCAAGTTATTTATTTCTAAGATGATCTACTTTTTGTTTTCATCCAGTATTTATCAAAACACCATTCATCTGTTTTCCTTTACACTTTATAAAGATGCATCAGCCTCTCATTGCTCAGTTTTGCTTCTCATTCCAACAAAGCCTGATTGTTTTTGCTATTAATTGACCCCCTTTTTCGAGCCTGACGTCATACAGAAGTCCCTGACAGCGAGTCGGCTCTGCTTTAAAAGTGCACACAGTGTGAAACAAAGGAGTACATAACAAGTCAAAAGGCATCTCTGTGCGATCCAGATACAAAAGATTTGGCACGAACCAGACTGCACGAGGAGAATCTATAATCCAGAGATGGAAGAATAGCTTTGAAATTTTGTGTTAATAGTCTTAGCAGTGTTTAAGTCTCTCACAGAAGTGCGATGGAGTTCATGCAGTGCTGATTTTGGGTTTGTATTAGCTTCGCTCTAGGACGTGCAGGATAGCAGACGTTCTGCAGGTGGCTTTTTGGTCGGTAATGACACTGGTAAAGTGTGCTTGATATTCAAAGTATACTTTATTGAGTTTGTGGTTCATGATGTTGGATGTTACTGAGTGTGAATACACAATCTTGGAAAAGTTTGTAAAGCTTAACTCTTCATCAACTTATTAGCATTTGTCCTAGAGTTTTTTGTTCACATCTCGTACTGTTAATGGAAAACATACACTTTTCTTTAAATTTCTTTATTTTATTTAGTTTTGTTGTTTTATTTTGTTTTGTCTTTTTTATGGTGATCATTTTCTAGTTCTGTACTGCCCTGTATTATGGTAAGCACTGAGAATGATTCTCATAAAATAACAGCAGCTGAAGGATTAAATGTATTTCTGATTCAAATCTCAGTTTACAAAAAAAAAAAAAAAAAAAATCAAGCATTTGTCTTTGGCTCATAAATAAGTGGAGTTACTCTACATGCACTAGGGCTGCATGATTATGTTCAAAATGTTATTCACAATAATTTGGATCAATATGGAGATCCTAATTATGTATCACAGTTTTTAAATGATTTTAGGATAAAGATATTTTTATTAATAAACAGAGCACTGCTTTCACTTCCATGATCTGCTACTTTTGTTCTAATTACAAACCTCTGTGTAAAAATTAGACTTAAAATACCAAAAGGCGGCAGTGAAAATATTTCCAAAAATTGAATGCACCATAAAGATTTTGTAAAGCAAAATAAAATAGTATAAAATACAAAAACAAGGCAAGACAGGATAGCAACTTGTAAGATCAAAATGTAAAATAAAACAAAACTACAATACTGAAATATTAAGATTGTTAAAAGCAACCAAAGTGACTGAAAACATGTACATCTGGAGATTTTAGCAGACAAAGTGATTTTT